ACCTATATGTACTTCACCTGTGCATCCAAACTTGTACGGAAAGGTGACAAGACTCTGTGATGGAGAAGTAAGGAAAGCATTCTTCATCCCACATCAGTGTGCTGGCAGGTTGCAAATGGTGGGGCAGATCAGCTGAGGAACAACTGGGCTTTCAGCCTGCCCCAGCCCCTGATCTGCCCTGCAGATGGTGAGCTGCTCACTGCATTGAGCACCTGGGTGCTCAGCAGTGGAGGGCGAGCTCTCACCAGTGGTCATGTGGCTAAAAACACGCCTCGGTAGGAGATGGTGCAATCTACACTTGCCCACTTATATTATCAGCTCTTTACCGTCTGGCTTGAAGATGGGCTTAGGAGAGCAAAAACCAGCAGTCAGCTTTCCCAGGCCATTCTTTCTGGGTAGAGATGACAAATACTCATCTTGCCTTATGACTGTGCCCCATATCCTGTGAGGCGAGGTGCTGCTGAGCAAGGGGGAACGGCATTGGTGAGAAGCTCCCCGCATCACCATCAGCCTCTCTCGGGTGTTAGTCACCATTCCCGGCACTGGCTGCCCCATGTCCAAGCCGAGCACCTTCCCCAGCACCCAGTGCACAGCTCTGCCTGCCCTCCTGCCACAGCACAGCCAGGGTGGAGGGCTCTGTGGTGGGACTGAAGCCTGTAGCATCCTTCCGTAGAGAGAAGAGGGTGCAGCACATTTAGTCTCTCACTCTTTTGTACAAACATCTCCTCAAATCAGTGGATTTGCTCACTTCCACAAATTTTTCACTTTTTCTTCCTGTGCCGAGAGCATTGCTCGACAGACCTTTTGGTGCCAGGTAGCGAGGGGGCCAGGCAGTAAGATGCCTCTGCCTCCTCCCCCACCCTCCTTTCTTTTTTTTGGAAGCCACCAAATTTTGTGCAATCTGTTCAACCCATCTCCAGAGGTAAAAGACAGAAACAGTTGCCAGTTATCCGGGGCTCAGTGATCAGTGGTATCAATGCAGTCCCTTCATTTGCCTCCTGGCTCTGGCTTCCTGATCGGTATGGCCGTTAGCAGAGACAATGCCAGCAGAGCAGATGCAGAACTACAAACCACTGAAGGATGAAAGGGAGAGAGAAAAGTCTGTTTATTGCAGCCAGCTCTTAAGGGGGGGAAAAAAATGACCCGAACTCCATCCAATTAAATTTTCTAATTAAACTGAGGACACACACATACTTCGCCTCTCTCTCGTTCCCTTTCTGTGTGTACCCCCATGCTTTCACAGCGCGGGTCCTGCTGCGGAGCTCATCCTAACAGTTCCTAGCAGAGCACGCTGGAACAAAGCAAGAGGAATCTGGTCAGGCTGCAGAAATGTTGCAGAAATGTTAGCAAGAGTTTGTTGTTTTTTTTAATGGGGAAACTTCGCCATCTCAGCAGTACCATTTGAGGGAAAAGCAACTGATGGGAAAATATAGAACAAGCAGGAAGAAAAAGAAGAAGCAGAAAAGTGAAATGGGTCAAGCCCCCCTCCCTCCCCTTTTACTTACATAAAATTAAAAGAACCCTCTGGAAGATTTAAACATTCTCTGTGCTGATGCAGTATTCTGTTGCTTCTGAAGTAGGTATAAGTATGTGTGTGTCTGGAGAAATCCCGATGTGAGTAGCTGGAAGTCCTTGGCCACACAGATGACCCTCCACGCTCCCCACTTTGGTCCTGCCATCAGTTGGGGATGGCCGGGGTGATGCACTCTTGGAGCCAGGCTTTGGTCTGGGGTAACTTTCTTTAAATAGGGCTTGGAGAAGCCCAGGTCTTGGCAGAGCATTGGTGACCGCCCTGTATGTCTCTTTTGAAACCGAAAAATGGTTGGGTGTGCCTCTTAACAAAGGGCAAAAGCACAAGATCTGAGAATTTAGAAAAATTAGGGCTATAGTGATACATTGGACAGTAAATGAATCCAAGCGAAGCTTGAGACCCTCTGGTAGTTCAGTTGTGCTTTGAAACTGGCAAAAATTACCTTGAATTAGGACTTTAAAAAAAGTCATAGCCAAAACACAGTCTATGATCTCAGGCCTCGTTTGACAGTCTAATAAACAAGCATCTGTCAATATGAACATCCCATGAGTTACTGCCAGAAACGTGCAGCATGTTGTTCAGAATGGCAATTTGGATTTTACAGGGTAACACAGAGACACTGAGAATAAATGAAAATACAAAGTAAAGTATTTCTAGCCCGCTGAGAATAGCAGAGACTGTGGCAAAGGTACTGAAACCAGCTCACAATAACACCCGAAGCTACAACTGAGGTAATCCCCTGGTCACCCGCAGCTCTTTCCTGTGGGAGGTCCCAGGAGCTTGGAGCAGTCCTGTCCCTGTGGGTGAGCTGGGGGACACTGAGGGTGGTGTCTGCAGGATGGGGCCGAAGCCTGGCAGGATGTCTGCACCACAGTTGGTGATGCCACTGTGATGGAAAGGATGACCTAATGTTTACAGAAGATTTGGGCTGGGATGAAGGTTAACTGGCAGGAGTTCACACAAGTTGGAACAGGGAGCGATAGGTTACAGACAACATTCAGAGAGGTTGAATAGAGTTGTGTCAGTCCCACCAATTATGGTGTACAGGGAACTATTGCTAATGAACCACGCTCAGAAGACACCACTGGATGCCAGGCTGCCTCTGTGTTACAGGGTAGCACCTATGGTGAAGAGCCCTCTTGGGCTTGGTAATGGTGCTTGGGTATTCATCCAGGGTGATGGATGAACCTTCAGGTGAGATAAAAGTTGGGCTGGGGATAATGCATCATGATCTTGGAAGGCAAGGCTAGTCCATGGTGGCCAGCCTTGACTCTTGCTTTTTTTCTCTGCCTCGGTCATTCCTTCTCAAAGGCACTGTGGATGGGGCAGGGATCCAATACTCGCACAATCCAGAACCACACAGAGCCTGGTCTGAGCACACTTTTCTTGGTAGCCGACCCAAGCGAGTGACTGTGGTGTTGCCATCTTTTGGTTGTTCCAGCAAACAGAGAGCTTGAGGTCAACAGTTCTCAGTTTGGTAATTTCTAAATTGAAATAGAGAAAAAACTCCAGCTTGCAGGTTGTGGTCAGCTCTATGTACAGGATTGACACAACAAAAAGTAAAACTGAGCAATCATCATCGGCAAGCCTTCGTTACTGTGACTTAACACGGGTGACCAGGAGTGAAACTGATACCTACTCAGCCTGTGGTACACAAGTGTTTTCCACAAACACTGCCTGCTCAGTCTTTTCAGCTGCCATTCATATAATCTTTTACCTGAGCATCTGTTCATGGGAAGCTGCAAATGATGTCTCTTGACCCTGCTTACAGCATTATTCAGCCACTGGATATGAATATTTTTCAAGGGCTAAAGGTACTTCACAGCTCTCTGCTGGGAGAATTATGCTTCCACTCAGGAAGTAGCCTTGCAAAGGCTGCTGAGATCCTACCAAGACAAACTTTTTTGTAAGTCACCACATACTCTTGCAGCCCAAGATAAGAATTCTCCTGCAGTGCCCAGTTATGACAATCTGTGAGAAATGGTCTCAAATGAGAAAAGCAGCTGTTGCTGGCTGGTACCCGTGCAAAGAGTCAGATCAGAGGAGAAACTAACAGTTGACCCAGTTTTTAAACCAGAATCAATCCTGGGTGCCAAATCACTGTGTCTGAACATCCAAATGGGTGCAACCGGTCCTTTAGCATCTATTGCACTGATCTAAAAGAAGCTTGAGGGAGGTGCTGCAGGCCACAGTGCTGAGCTTCACTCTCTGCATCTGAAAACTGGGCATTTCATCCCAGAAATGCAGAAAGGGTCTCTGGTCATTGCCTGCTCCAGTCTCAGAGCATCACGTGTGGCAAAAGTTTCCCTTGGGCAGAGCCTGAAGAAGAGAGCTGGGGCTCCCATTTTGCAGGGGATACAAAGTCTGTAAACTGTGCAAAGGGCTAGGGGAAAGGGATGCAGGAGGAACCAGGCAGTATGGGTAGTTGGGTAGTATGACCTCCTGCCCAGGGAGAGAACAGAAGCATCAGTGGTTAATGGCAGAGACATTGAACAGCTGGCTGAGCTAGAATGGGTTTTAACAGTTCATGGGACACGATCAAGCCACCTCAGGCACCCCTTTAGTTCTGGAGTTCGAGTTGCTTATGCTCCCAACTCAGCTGACTTTCCATACCCTACTTTGGTTAGTGGGGAAATTGGTGTCTCATTTCCTCTGTCCTGTGGACATGGCACAACTGCAACTTCAGGAGGGCTGCAGGAGAGCAGCTGCTCCTGGGGCATCTCTGGGCTTCCTGAGGACTTGGTCTGTTGCCAGGAAATCCCAGGCCAAGGTGGGCATCTTATCCTGGGTCTGCATCAGACTCAAGCAAATAGTAAGGGGCTGTGCCACTGACTATTTTGTCAAACTGTGAGTTTTTCTTGACTTGATCTTAACTTTTTATTTTCTTTGCTGTTAAGGCAGTATTTGTTACATTTGTACAGATCAAAAGTAGTAACTCACTCATGTACTTTCTGTGAAAAATCAGTACCAAACATTTTCAAAGGAAGACAAATACTTCCCCATGTACCTTATTATATTTCAGACAATCTGAAAAGAAATTTTGCTTCCATAGATCTTTTACATCAGATTTCTCGGTGGAAAGTGGAATGTGCTGACGTAGACCTCACTTGTAGACCTTGGGAGAGGTCCAAGTGCCGTATACTAGAAATCATTTCTTTTAGAGGTTTCCAGTCCAAAATGCATAACAAAGCTGACAGCCCAGCCACAAACCACCCAGCAAACACACCGACATCTCCTGCTGCCAAGTCCCATGCAAGACCCATATGCACAGGTAGCTCTGCAGGTGGCAGCATCCCTGTAGGAGGTGTGGGGGAGACACCTCTGGCTGGCAATGTGGCCCAGACTGGAGCACTAGCACTGATCCGGCACTGGTCAGCACTGGGGAGGGCCATGACTACTTTCCTCTGGAAATGCAGAGGTTCTTTCTAACCACTGATGCCAAGCTAATTGGCACCAGGTGTGAGGAAGGGTGAAGTATGTGGTGGGGATGATGGAAGGAGTCAGAGTGGTCTCCTTGTGGTCCCACATTTCTAGGGCTTGCTCAGCATGCTGTCAAGTGCTGTGACTTCAACAGAATGAAAATACAAGGTGGTGATCCTTCTGCCAGGTAGGAACTTTAAGGAATGGGATACAAACCCACATAAACGCAGACAGACTGCAACTATCTTCATTTCCTCAAACACCTTCCTAAATTCAGTCAAGGATTCAAGTATTGAAAATCTGCCTTCTAGGCTCTACCTTTGTTGGGTGCAAAACTGAGGGAGGATGTTGGTCCATTTACATCTTTTTTGTTGTTGTTGTTGCAACTTTTAAAACCCTGGAGGCCCATTAGATGGGATCTTCAAAGGTTCTGAAAGGAAATGAGACGTTGAGTTTCCACCTTAAGCTCCTTTGAAAGCTCCCACCTGGATTCATTTAAATGTTGCAAAAACACGTAAAACAATTCATTATAAAGGTGTCTTTTAGCTGCCAGGGTGGTGGTGGTGGTGGTGAGATGGGGGATGGGTCAGTACTGAAATTTAGGGGAGAGAAGAACAACCAAAAGGAAGTAAACTTGGAACATTTCAGATGGACTGTGCCTTGAGGAAATAAATGAAACATTTTCAGATGATACCTAGCCATGCAATACCTTTCCCATGTCTTTGACTGGGGGTTCCCAGCAAAACCTCTTCCCTTGTGGCTTAGAGTGAATCTAAAGCAAAGCTGGTCAAAAGGTAATGCCATGTAGCTCTTTGGATTGATTTTTTTCTGAGAAATGTGCTCCTGGTAGGAAGCTGAAGGGAGCCCTTTCAGAGTGGAGTGTAGCTCAGTACAATACAGATGAGGCAGTTCCGGAAGAGGAAGACTGAAGACCTTGTAGGCTTCTTGGGCTTGAAGTCAAGCAATGGGAGATTCTGGTAGTGCAGGTTCTTGGAAAATCTCCATCTGTAAAATGTGCATTTTCTGTCTTTTCTTTCTTTTCTTTCTTCTCTTTCTTTTCTTTCTTGTTCATTTATGAGGATGAGGAGAATTTCACTCCAGACACTGCTTCCCACCACACATTTATGCGATGGCTGGCATTGTGGGGTTTTGCTCCTGGGTAAAGACTCTTGGCGGTGGAAATGTGCAATAAAATAGTGACCAGCACTGTAAGTGGTGGAACCACACAGACCTGGATCCCTGCAGGTGGTGTCTGGAGGCTGAGTCCCTGTTTGTATTCTTCAGTGTCTAATAAGGGCTAAGACACTCCACAAGGCAGGCTCTTTCTCTAGCAGGTCTTCCACAAAGCTTGTGAGAAGGTAATGTATAAAACACTCTTATCCCTCTGCTATTGAAATTGGCCTATGGATTCAAAGTTGTTAAACAGAAAGTTGACATGACAGAAACAAGCAAAAGCAGAACTAAAAGGTAACTTCAGATATCAGACATGTGATGCAGGATAATATTTGTTTTTCCTGTAGCTGTTAATACCATACATTCACTTTGCAATGCTGTTCTTGTGACTGGATATCTTTTCTGCATGACCTATCAGCTGCAGACATGGTATCCATGAAGGTATTTGAAGAAGCAGAGCACGGAGACAAGAAAGGTGAAAAATCTTTTCACAGAGAGAGTTGCTCTCACATGCATGCCTGTGTCCCACACCACAGCGGAGATTACAAGTAAATAGGAGCTATTCATTTGCTAACCAGAGTTTGATCCGTCTCTGGATCCCAATCGGCAACTCAGCCTCACCAAGTCCCTGAAACACTGTTGGCATTGTTTACTCTATGTGGTACCAGGGAAAAGCTGGTGTTACTGTTATTTAGCACCAGTGCTCTCCAGGCTGCCAAAATCCTTGTGCCAAAAAAGAAAGGTCATTTGAACCCCAGTGTCTGACAAAACAAGCCCAAACTGTCTACTGTGGGAACACACTTTTTCTTGGCTGATCCCATTCCGCAGCCAGAATGGGGAACGGCAAGCTCTTCCCCTCCTGCTGTGTTTAGAGGTGAGTCCTAAAATCCCAATGAATCATTTTGTTTGTCCTGTGACGCCTTTTATTTTTGAACAGACACTCTGCCTTTTGTTAATGACAAAGAAATGGCTCCTTCCATCTCCAGTGAAGGAGTTCCTTTTGCAGGCAGCGCGTGCGTGCGGTGGCTGGTGGGGCGGCGGCAGGCTGGGCACTGGAGCTGCGCTGGCCTGGCTTGGCGAGCAGAAGGTGCTGGTTTCAAACTGCTCTCTTTTTCTCCAGAAGCCTAAATCAGTTTTATGCATTGCTGACGAGACGTTTATGTGCCACACAGTAGGAGTCACAGCCCACAGAAGTCTGCTCTGAACTAGCTGTGTGCCTCTCCTTCTAATTCTCTGAGCAGCAAGGCTGGGTTAAAGTGATTGATCACAGGGAATAAAGGTTAGACTTCTAAATCCATATTTTTTAGTGCCAAGCACTTACAGCTCCCACTACTTAGAGATGACACAGCGACTCTAAGAAAAGAAAGCTTTTGCTTTGCTGTGGGCAGGAAGCTGTGGAGCTCGCAGTTTCCACCTTCCACATATAAACTAGTGTGTGACCATGCTCCCGATGGCAATCATACTTCAGGGGAGTGATCTGAGGCAATTCCTAAAGCTAGGAATTATTTCTTGGTGAGCAGCAAAGATCTTGTTGGGGGTGAATGCTGTGAACTAACAAGCATATGTGGCTGGGAAAAACCCTGTCCTCACCTGGCAAGTCTTAAAGCATCACAGGTGCTCCTTTGGTGTGGACAGTGTGCAAGTAGGGCTTCAGAGACAACACTCCCTGTGCATCTGAATGGTCTCTGAACTAGTGTCAGGGTTGTCTTTTTCATTCAGTATCTAAATGGTGAAAGAGCCAATAACAACAATAAGAGGGCAAAGGTATTGGCCTGGTGTTTTAAACACAAGTTTGTTTTATCTCTATACTTTGGGTCTGCAGATATAAATCTAGGCAAAACCAATACTGCCTCCCACCATTCTGAAACTGATAAACTGAGCTGATTGCTATGCAGAAGTAGCTGATGCATGTAGTGTATGGTGATTCTTATAAAAACAGGGGTTTACTTGGAAGGACACTCTACAAATTTCCTTTTCTGCTAATCAGGCGAGCTGCTGCATGCAATTTGACTTCAGCTCCTCAGCCTTCTTGGTATGCAATGTACAATATTGTGCATTAATTTTAAAGCCTTCTGGGGTATCTGTGCTGTGTAAATGTAAATATGATCAATACTGTGCAAAGCAAAGGAACAGCGCTGCAATTCTCTGTGACATAAACAGCTCCTGCTCTTTTTTTTTTTTTTTTTTTGTACGTCTTGTTCTTTATTCACAGATGCAAAAATAATCCCTCCTTCCTGTCTTTGGTGGTGCTGGCAGGCTCTCTTCCAATACCGTGTATGCTCATTTACATTTCTAGAAAAGTCTTTCCATGATAAAGAAAGTTCATAAGAAATAGTTGTGTGACCGCCAGGAGCATATCTCCTCATGGTAGTGCAGGCAGTGCTATCAGCCAATGACCAAAGCGTTGGGACTGTAGTGGCTTATTTGCAATGACATACAGCTGAGTATGGGCACATTTTTGGTGACCTCAGAGGGGTCATGTAGGTTCCCCCCTTGCCTATAGATGAAGGGCAATAACTATTCCCTTGCTTTGATATAGAACAAAACAGTAAATCATTCTGGTCAAAGTAGCAACAGATCCACACTGTGATGGATACTCACATGGAGCGTATTCTGAAAGAATAGCTGAGCATAACTAAAAGGAAGCTCCTGTTATAAAATATATGAAATAGCTTGGCTTCCTAGTTGTATTTATTTCACAGATGACTTCAGTGAACAGAGATTTTGAAAAAGAGAACAAGGCTGAAGAAAACCTCGCCCTGTGTGCCTGGCTGTTCTCCGTAAATATTCTTGAAAAGCAAAGATGCTTTCAGTGCACGGGGACAGAGAATAAAAGAACAAGATGGTGCCCTGCATTTCAGAAGTGTCTCTTTGCAAATACTTCTGATCTACTGATGGCTAATATTCTCCAGCTCTGCCCTCCCTTCCAGGAGGAATGCAATAACACTAGTTAGGAAATGCAGCTTACAAGCAAATGAGCATACCCAAGGCTATCAGCATAAAGACCTTTGTGAGTGAAGACTAGGTTGCAACCATCAGTGGCTGCTCATACATGTACATAATTGCCAGGCCCTGGTGCCACACTTCCCATGCCTATTGGGGAGTGTGTGTGTCATGTTCGAACTTGGCATAGCTCCCAGAGCATCCCAGTTTTTGGTTTTGCTTTGCATAAACCTGGAGGAGATTTTCCAGTGGGATGGGTGGCTTAGCAGATAATAAACTGGCCTTTGGGAACATGGTTTGGGCTCAGCCTGAGGCCTCAAACAAAATGATGCCAAAAGTCTACGCAACTCTCAGTATTCTTTGGACAAGATTTTGTAAGCTATGAATTTGTGTCTGATTTGCCTCTCCACAGGGTGACTATACTTTAGATGACAAAGCTAGCAAGGACATGGCATTGTATCAACCCTTGTTGCCTCCAGTGAGCATGACAGTCCTATATCAGCTACAGCAGGAAGAAGACTGTAGCCCACCATTTCACCAGGAGACAACATGCACTGTGAATGCCAGGACAGTCTGAATAGTGTCCTTGGAAGATTAGAGCTCAAGGCTGTAGTCTAGCATCACCGGGGTATGTATTGTTAGAGGTATATCATCAGATGGATGATGAGACTGCTGGATCCCCATACAGTAGGCCTCTGGGATTGCCTGCAGTGTTGATGGCTCCTGAATCCCACCTAAGAGAAAAGCTCCCTGACTTCACTGTCTTCATGTGAACTATAGATCAGCAAGCACACACTGCAGTGAGTATCTATTATAGGCACTCCTGGAGCACTGACAAGTGTGTATCTCCTGGCCAGTACAGCCTTCATCATGATACATGACTGGACTTACCCAAGACAGGGACATCTACAAATGATTTTTAGCACACAGGACTGCTTCAGGACCACACTCCATTGCTGTGAATGGCAATGCTTCACCGTCTCAGAAAAGCTTTTTTAAGCTTATTGGCCCATTAGCCAGCATTACGGTTCCTAACACAAACACACCATGTAAAGCCCCAGAGGATGAGTCCAAGTTAATGGAAGAGCTGACCCTGCTTGCCCTGTGCTCAACCTCTGGGCTGACGGGATGCACTTTACCTTTGGTGTGGAGATCACAGCTCAGTGAGCATGGTGCTGAGCTGGAGACAGCTCACACTGAGTGTTGTTCCTGTGAGCTCACCTACAAGACCTTCCTTCCTTTCTGGCAAAAACTGAGCTCTGTGTGTACTGAAAAAAATAGGCAAGACCCAACCCAGTTGATTATGTTTCATCATTGGCTTGCATTGTCGTTACCCAGCTACATTCCATCAAAGGTCTGGCAAAAGAAAAAAAGTCAATCACCCAGCTACATTCCATCAAAGGTCTGGCAAAAGAAAAAAAGTCAATCAAATGAAAGCTGTGGCATACATGAACCCCAAACCTCCTAGGTTCACTAGTTCATGAGAACATGAAAGTATCTCATAATGAAGATGGACATGTCCCTTCTCCTTCATGTCCTACTGCCTCTGGGGAAGAAGAGAGGACAGGATGCCTCTCATAGGGGTGTGGGACTGAGGAGGTGATGGGCCCTGCCTCTGCTCAGGGACAGCCTTTATACATTCCCAACTCTCCTTTGGTCCTTTCCTGGAGGCTTTTCAGGACAGGTTAGTCTGTTTAAACCATCTTACAGCAACCTTTACAGAAACTCTTCCCTCTTCCTGGATGTCACTCTGTTCTTACATGTCCGTCCACTGACTTGTGACATAAAACATACGGGGTTTGTACATGCATGGATCATCAGAATCTGTCTCCATCCCTCAGTCCTCTAGATGTGACCAAATCTCAATTAGGTCATTCAGAGAAGCATGTCCATACTGAATATTTGTTAATCCTCCAAATAAACAGCATAGTGTTTCCATGCTTCTCTGTCTGTATCTCCCTGGTCCTAATCAAAGTGAAAATCCTGTTAGGCAGGGACAATTCTTATCACCTTTGTACAACAGATAGCTCACTGGCTTTGTGGTTTGCAATTAGACACATCAACAGCAACACTAATTTTTTCATAGAGATGAATAATAGGATTTTCTATTATGTCATTCTCTTTCCTATAAATTGCTAACATGTTGCATCTAATAGATGTACAATTTCTGGCTCAGGTCCATTTGATTTAGGCTTTCAGGAGAAGGATCCATTTAAACAAAAATGTGCCTATTAAGTATCAGTGCCTCGTCTTGCCCAGCAAATGAAAATTGAGTGGCACCGTCAAGCATTGACAAGTATGGTCCTGCAGACACTGATGATCCCATGTACTGCTCGTTTCCCTTCTGTGGCTAGGACTGGTATCACTGTGAAGTGCTGACACAGAGCACCCAACCGACCATGGCTTTGCCGAGTCAGGAGGAGAGACAGAAGAGAGCCCATGAGGCAGGTGACCCTGTAATTTGTTAGGTTGGTTAGGCTGCTGGGTTCATGTAATGTCTAGGTTGGCACTTCCACCTTACAGTCTCCGTTTCTGTGTCAGTTCATTTGGACTCTGATAGCTATCTTTTGTGTGCAAGCTCTGGGATCTTCGCCTTTTTCATCTAAGCTTGGCTTCCTCTTTTATTGTTTGGGTTTGTTAACTGGCTGCTGTCATCCTTCTCAAGTCCCCCAAACCATTTTTCATTCCCTTTGGTATTTTTTTTTCCACAGGAAAGTCAGGAAGAAAGGCGTTTTCGGCAAGGCCTCCCTCCTTGCTGGGTTTCGTGCACTGACTTTAATCATTGCTTTGCCTGGAAAAGGGAAAGAGCTTTTCTTAGAATGTCCTACAGCGGCGTGCAAGGACTTCCCCCCTTCTCCCTTCCTACTCATTAAAGCTCAATTGTTGACTGTTCTGGGGTCCCTGTGGGTAAAGCTTGTTTGTAATGTCAATTACCTTGAGTTTATGAGTTAAGAGCTGGAACTGGAAAAAGGAATCCTTCATTTAGCTGTCACTGGCATACACTGCAGTTCACTCAGCCAAGAGGAAATGGGGATTAAGGGCCCAATCCTGCTCCCTCTGGACTTGGTAGCACGGCTCCCGGTGAGAACAATGGGAGCAGACCCCGGCCTCAGAGGAGAGGGTGGCCCTAGCGAGGGTGCTCCCCTGCTCCCCAAGTGAGTGATGGTAATTACTGCAGGAGCGTCTGTTTGGTGCACTTCCTTCAATTGTTCCCCAGACCTTATTTTTTTTGGTGCTCAGAAAGGGTCATTTGTTTCACTGGATAGCAAAGCTTGTCTGGAATGACTTAATGTGTTCCTGAAGCACTTGAAAAGATGGGTGATCACAGTGGAGAGAGGCAGTGAGAGTGGCTGGACACAGGCTCTTTGCATGTTTTGGCCTGTCCTGGTTGGAGTGATAAGGACGGTTTACAATGTTGGTGGCACAGGGCCACATTTTTCATGAGGTATAAAGCAGCTGTGACTCCACTGTCAGCCAGAGACCTATACTGGGATATCCTGAGACAGTGTTCAGGAGCTCTTGTAAAGGAATCAAGGTGGCTCACCTAGCCTCTAACCAGGCTTTCTGAAACAAATTTGCTTCAATAAAAGATCTCTTGTTGTATGACACCTTGGAAACTGGATCCAGCAGAGCTTGGGATGCCATGGGAGGATATCTTGGGATCTCTGCCAAGCAAACACCTGACTCATGGTACAACTTGCAGGCTGGGCTTGATCTCTGTTGCTCTGAGGACATTTATTTGGTGTAATGTGGCCCTGCTAGGGGAGTGACAGGCTGCCAGAACATAAGAGAGAGGTTCTGTCAGCAACCCAAAACTAATGAAGGCCCAACTTTGGCATTTGTCACCCCAAGTGCATTCCCTGTCACTGGAATGAACAGTTCTAATGAGAGGAGAAAAACAAAACAAAACAAAACAAAACCAACCCTTTCTATCACACCACAGTATGCCAATATGATCAAGTAGATTTCCAGCTTTGTGTGCAAAGCCTGGCTTGCAAAAAACTTCTCTGCTGGTAACAGAGTTGGGAGTTCGTGTTTGTTCTCCCACCATGTGAATCTTTTCGGAAATGTCTGCAATAACTCCTGAGATTTAAATGCTGCGAAAACCAGCAGCTCCACACTATGTCACATGTTCAAATAACAGCAGCTGAAAAGTGCAGAACCTTCTTCTCAACCCAGGGGACCGTAACTTTTAATAATGACCCTCTTTTGCATTTCTTTTTGCTGACTATCTGAAGGCCTTAAGTTGCTGAGCAAGCATGAAACAACCCCCTGAACACCTCCAGTGAAGAATACTAGTTATTGCTTTTCTCTTTAGAGAAGAGGTGTCAAGGCACAGAAAGAAAATGAAATGTCCATAGTTGTGCTTTGGAGCTCTGATTTCAGTAGGTTCTGATGGGAGATGAAACCTAAAGGGACTTCCACGTCTGAGTCTCATGGAAATTGTTGCTTTGGAAAAGTGGAATGATAACATTCCAGCTTAAATAGCCTCTCCCAGCTCCCTTGCCCTCAAACAGTAGCATCTTTCTCTTAAAATCCTCATGGCAGAAAGATGTGCTTCTCTGACCTTTGCATTGCCGTGAGTATTCCTCATTTGTAGGAAGTCACTGATGATGCATAACCCATATAACAACCTTAACCTTAAATCAAAACTGAACATTTTAAGGATCTTTTTGAGAAACTCGGAATCATCATGACATCAGCTGCTTTTTGTAATCAGACACGAGTGCCTCTTGAGGACTCAGTTCCTGTGGATTCCCCAAATTCAGTAGCTTCAGGTTTATGATTTCATTGAAAGGGTCATCTATTACATCAACAAAGACCCTGTAAGACGGCCTTGCTTTAAGGCAGGGAATACCTCACTGTGGTTGCACAGCTCTTAGGTTTCTCTAGTTCCAGGCAAGAAAACTTCCAACAAAAGGGTTCATGCTGAAAATGTATTTTGGAGGCATCTCCTTAATAACCAAATCCCAAGATTTGATTCCCACTCTGAACTTCTCTACCTTAAAGAAGTTTCCTGAACCTTCTGAATTTAATAAAGAAAATGTTAAAAGGTTCAGCTATTTTTCATCCACCACTCTTCATTTTTGCCTGCCTGTGGCAGTCTCCAAAAGCCAGTGCTATAGCACAGGAGCGAGTAGCAGTGGCCCAGCAGATTACCACGTGTCAGCTGAGCTGTGGTAACCTCAGTAGCTGTTTGCTGTGAATGCTCTTGCTCTGCCCTAGATGTGAGGTAATGCTGTTTAGCTGAAAACTTGATGAAAGACGCTTAAACTGAAACAGATTAAAAATGCAGACATAGACAGTTACCGAGGTTTGGCTGACAAATAGTAACTCCTTATGCCCCATACGGAGACTGTATGCCTGAACCCACGGGTTACTTGCTCGCAAGATGTCCTGTTCATCACAAAAGCATACAGGTTGTGGAGCCCAGACAGAACTTTTTAAAAGACTATAACCCCAGTTATACCAGTGTGCTGTGTGTTTCCTCCTGCAATCTCCAGCAGATGGTGAAAGAATTAATTGATCTGATCTTACCAAATGTGTTGACTACAGGGTGAGGTGTGTTTGTGTAAACATATGCTGATTGTGCACATTCTCATTTCCAGTGACACCGGCTAGCAATTTAGCTATGTAACTTTTCCAGTAACAGTATATTGAAAGTGACACGGGCAGGACAGAAAGCCTGTACTGCTCACTGAGGAAGAGAAGAAAAAAAAAAAGCAACAAGGCTAGGCTGTAGTTTTTATGTACACCGGTTGCTCCCGGGTGAAACAATGACAGATATTTTTATCCAAGCAGGTCATATTTTGATGAGGTGCCATGGGGTCTAGAGTTCAGAGGACAAGAGCAGGAGTCACAAAGGCTCTTGCTGTGCTGTAATCCCTCCTGAGCCATGGGCCTGCAGGGTGACCTTGGGTGTGACACTTGATCAGGCTGCTCAACCTTAGGCAAGAGGCAGCAAAACCTTCCCCTGCATGTCCTCATGTCTTTTAAGCTTTTGAAGTGATGCTTCCCTTTCCCTAACAAAAGTATCTGTTGATAGGTTATTACGTAATGAACAGTTAATACCCGATTCCCGGTGCATTACTAATGAATAATCAGCATTATTATAAGTGCTGTGAATTGTAAAGGGTTGCCAGGAAAAAAAAAAAAAAAAAAAGATTAGTAATGATGGGTTAGTTAATGTATTAAATGGAAGTGGATTTTGGGTCCTCTGTTGCCAGATTCTGCAATTTTGTCTTGGGACTTGCTCTCTCGATGCGTAGTGTTTCCTCACAGTGATATATATAGACAGGAAAATGCTTAATCATGGCTTGTCAAGGTCTGTAAGATAAGATTTTTCTGAAGTATTACTGATCTTTTTTTTTTTTTTTTTTTTTTTTTTTTTAAGATGTCAGTGCTTTCAAACTAGGAAAAGCAAGTGTGGTTAGAGGCTGTTAGCTCAGCCCAGAGGGAGGGAGCAATGTGGTGCCTACACAGAGGCATCCAGTGCAGTTCTTCACATGCCTCTGGCATTCAGCTCCCACTCCTGAGGGGTGCAGATCTCCCCTAGATGTCCTGGACACCTGAAGACATCTAAAATGGCACTGGACACCTATGGGTTGGACTTAATCTAGTGGCTGCATTTTAAGAGGTCTGGAAAAATCACAGTACTGGTAAAGGTGGTATATAACACAATTGTGTTTAACCCATTTGTTAGGCTGGTTAGCTATTGTGATGGTTCACTAGCTGCAGGCAATGCTCTAGTTGCCAGCAAATTGGACAATTGCCCAAACTGCCTGTAATGGCTGATGCTCCTTTGGAAGAGGAGAGAACTAAATTCCAGCTAGCAATAGGACCCTCCTCAGAAGGTAGCCTTGAAATCAAGGGGACCCTCCTTCCTGCCTGGTGAGACAGGAACAATTTGTGGCAGTAGGCCATGCTGCTCGTTGGCAGGGGGTTGCTGGTCTCAAGGCTTGCCATGGA